GTATCTTGGTTGCTTCTGTTCTTTGGCAATTGTAAAGAAACCTGCTGTAAACATTCCTGCGCAGACCCCAATTTTATCTAAAGGAATATTGACAACTGATTGCTGCTAGATGAGTAACAACTGACCTTCCTAAATCAACGATCTCTAGATAGGCTGACTAGATTCACCAGATGGACAAATAGTGGGGAATGGCTGGGGGTGCCGATAACACAGCAGACAGTAGCAGGGATATCAGAATATAAGGGCTCTAGTGGGGGGAGGGAGGCTATGGGAGGGTGCCATCTGGAATGTGGGTGTATAGTTGAGTAAGATGGTATGGGATGTTCTGTGTGATACACACACACACACACACACACACACACACACAATCAACAAATTTTAAAAAATGTAGTATAGTTGAAGTGTATTTGAGGAGGAAGCATGGAAATTTATGTCATGCTAATTAGTAGAGGTGATAAACATTACCATTGAAATCTACCTGATGGCTTTATAGACATGCACCAAGGATCCAAGTGCAACCGATTATGACTAGTAATAATCAGATGAATACAGATTAGAGATGCATGCTCCAACATCTCAGTGTTAGTAGCAAAAACAATGAGTCTTTCCGCAAGGAAAAATATATTCTAAAATAAAATGGAGATCTTTTTAAAAGGTTAAAAACTCATTCAATTTTATGTCTTACAGGGCCTATACTGAGTTTAATATTGTAACTGTGAACCTAGAAACTTTCACCCACTTGTGAAAGAGATGTACTCTTGCTCTGGAGTGTGTTATTGAATATGTTAAAGCTGTAATGAAATGTTTCTTCTAATCATGTAGTTATTAAAAATTAAAAAAAGAAAGGTCTTAAGCTATGATTCTGATAGAGCCAAAGCTATTAGTATTTTCTAATATAATCACTAAAACATTTATTATTTAATAATAAGCATACTGTTTTATTTCTTAATATTTTATTTGATTTTATGTGTGTGTTTTGTCTGCATATTCATAGATACACTATGTGCAGTACCTGCTGAGGCCAGAAGAGGGCACTGGATCCCCTGTAGCTGGAGTTACATTTGGTTGCTAGCCACCACATGGGTGCTGAGAACCAAACCCAGGCCCTCTGCAAGAGCAGTCAGTGTTCTTTACCACTGAGCCATCTCTCCAGCCCTTCTATTTTATTCTTAAGCCTCAAGTGTAAAGGCAGATTCAGATATTCTCCAAATTCATTCAGTTTAGGCCATAGTGAACCATACAGAAATGCTAAAGTGGCTTCATAACATATTAAACCATCAAAATTCCCATTCCTTTAACCACTTAATTTTATCATCTTTCACTATTCAAATGTATAAGAAAATGTGCATGTAATTTTAAATCCATGCTGATTTAAATATAAAATATACTATAGTACAAAAATATATGAAGTATTCAGAAAAATTTCCAGATTCTTTCTTAAAAAAAAAAAAAACCTCTAAATTTGCTTCAGAAAAACACAGGCAAAGCTATCTTATACAAATCTATTATAAACTGAAATACACTTTCGGGTTAGGCATGACATGTAGGAGGCTATATTTCAAATCCCATAGTTTGTTTTGTTTTGTTTTGTTTACAAGATGAGTATCACAAAAAGTTTTTTTAAATAAATTACCTGGAAAGGTTCCTTACATCATGTGGCAGAACTTTGTGCATGCTAAACAAGCATCTACCAAATGAGCCAATTATCCAGCCTTAAGGAACTAGTAAAAATATTTCCTGAGGTCCAAATTTCTAGTTAGATTCAGAAATTAAATATATTAATAAAACAAACAGTAAATATGCTTGAAAATGTATAGTGATGGTGATAGTTTCTTAAATAATCTTACCTTAGTCAAATGAAAGAATCTAAATTCTAGTACATTTCTGGCTTCAATTCAAAATATATTTGAACCAAAACTTCAGTTTCTTGTTAAATTCCTAGAGAAACAAAATTAAAAACCTGTAAGTCAGGTTCTAGTTGCAGATAAAATATAACAATTACAACACTCCAACCTGTCCCACCAGGTAAATGTACCCGTAAGACTTGGATAGAATGCTTGGAATATGTGGGAATTCTGAAAAGTAAACAGTAACTGACAGGTTGTGTAGGAGGACCAGAATGGAAAGCACCACTGCAGAATGCAGTCACCATGCTGTTGTCTTCTGATACCATCATGCCTAAAGTTCATGCAGCCCAAATGAAAAGCATCATGTTGTAATGTGTAAGCTGTGCCCAGAAGAGAAGGAAAGGGATCTCTATGCTCATACATGCACCTAATATGCTTCTTTGTTTTCCATCTGTAGGAGCTGTGGCAATGAAGGCCAGCCAGGATCTAAAACCTGAGGCAAGGGAAGTTTGCTCTATAGTCACAGGTGCTGTGGTTCCAGGAGAAAGAGAATCCCTAGTGCTTCTTTTCTATGTCCTCCTGCTACCTGGTCCTGATGATGGATGCAACCTTAACAAATAAAGTCTCACCTTTCTGGTCGGAGACAGGAAATGGGGAGCCTAAAGGCCACTGGAGCCCAGAGACAGACCAACACTGGAGCAAAATAACATGCCACTACATATAATGGAATTACACACTGATGAATCTATCAGATGCTGAAAATATTTTAAGTAAAAATGAACCTAATATAACTAACCTATTGAACACCACAGCTTAATCTAGCCTGCCTGAGATGTGCTCAGGCCTCAGCCTACAACTAGGTAAACCTTCCAATTCAAAGCCCGTTTCATTATAAAGTGTTGAGTAGTTCATGTAATTTACTATTATAGTCAAAGTGAAAACTCAGAAAAGTTGAATAGGTATGCTTCTTACTATGATAAAACTGAAAAAATTCTAGGTCTAACCATCATAAATTGAGGACTATTTGTATTTGATTGTAAATCATGCAATAAGTATACATGTTTATATAAATGACTGAAATAAGCAAAACAAAATCTTCCTCACAGAAAAACTAATAACACATGTAGATCTGCCCTATCCATAACATAAAACTTAATCGCCCTACCCCGTAAGTATTGGTTGAAATTGGCAACTCATTTCTAATGGAGAAAATATAAAAATACAAAAATATTAACTTTGCAGTGGAGAAACTGAACAATTATTATTTTCTGTAAGCAAAGCAGTGTGTCTTTATGTACTTCCCCCCAAAATGTGAGGACACTTCAGTTATTTATTATTTTCTAAACCTACAGCTTAATCATGAGAAAAGTACCAGACAAAACACAGTTTCAGGGACATTTTGCAGAATACCTGGCTAGTACTCAAAACTGTTAAGGTCATGAAAAGCAAACAGAAGACTGAGAAACTGTCATGGACTCTAGGAAATGACAATGACATGGCAAATGCTATGTGAAATCTGGAACAGGAGGAAACTAATAAGAAATCTGGAGAAATCTGAGTTTGGAATCCAAAGTTTGGCAAACATTAAGGTAACAATGTTAGTTTCTTGTTTCTGATAAAAATAAGACTAGCACAGTGGTGCGCACTTTAATTCCAGTTATTCGAGATGTTGAGACAGGAGGATCACAACTTTGAGGCCAGCAGGACTACACAGTGAGACCCCCATCTTAAAGACAAAACAAAAACCTGAGAATAACTAAGCCTAAAGTTCTTTTTAAAGAACATCAGTTTATGGGCTAAGGACCGACTCAGTGGGTAAAATGCTGTGCAGAAATGAGGAGTCAAATTTGAATCCCTAGCATCCATGTAAAAAAGCTGGATGTGGTAGAACACATCTGGAACCCAACTACTAGGAAGTGGGGGATGGTGACAGGAGGATGCTGGGGGCTCACTGGCCAGCCAGTCTATCCAAAACAGCAGGCTCTGGCCTTGGTGACAGTCACAAAAATAAGGTAGAGAGCAAAAGACATACAGTGTTGACCTCTGACCTCCACATGCACATGCTCTGGCCAAGTACACTTGCATATATACGCATGCACGCGCGCACACACACACACACACACACACACACACACACAACTAACTTATAGTTAGTAGAAAATACCAGAAGGAGATTAATTACAATAGAGAACATTCTGAAAATGAGAAAATACTTTGTTTTCATTTTTATTATGAGGGGGAAAACAGCTGCTTTAAAATTTTGAGTACGTAGGATGAGAGAACGCGAGTAGATAAAGCAGAAAACATATTTTACAAGTAACTCTACTCCTGCTAGCGTTCAGCTTACCTCCATCAAAGAAGTAGTACTGAAGTTTCCGGTAAGTTATGATGTTACATACACCATAAACCATTACAATCTATTTATTGTAACAACAAAATTAAACACAAAAGTACTGTATCTCTTGAACACTTTCATTATTTAATCTTTTTAATTGGTTACCTTAGTTATTATTTTTTAAAATATTTAAAATTTAGCCAACTATTTATATTTAAAACAAACTCAATTCTCTGCTGTGTAAGTAAAGTTAGCAACAATTTCACAGTCACACCTCACTTTGAAGATCCAGGGATTTGTTTTTAGAAGTCAGTCTACTGTACTAATTTCAATGGAAGACAAACGTCTGCAAGGAGCAGCTCTACCTCAAAGTCTTATGTTCTCCTAAGATTACATTCAGCTAGAAAGGAAGGGGTCTACTTCAAGAATTTAGGTTTGTTTCTCCAGAAACACATTGTGGGGGAATGACATGCTGAGTATCATATCCTCGCTAACGGAAGCTGTTTGTGGTATCAGTAAAAATTTACCAAGGCCAGTTTAGTTTCAATACTCATTGAAAGAGCTCCAACTACAAAGCCATACAACCCCACTAGTTGTTCCATTTACTTTTTAAAAGGCTGATTTAATCATCTAAATCTGACTTCCAAGATGCAAGGCACCTGCCAAGAGCTCTTGCTAGGTCTGTACATTCCGACAGGCTCTCTTGGACCCTGCATATATTTAAGTAACTCCTGCACTTTAATGTTCACAATCACAGAGACTTTCTCCATTCCAAAAAGAACCAAGAAACCTCATTACTTCTTCTTTCTCCCCACCCCCTTTTTTTTTGGTTGTGCAGGCTCCATGAAACTGGGTTCCTTTTTGTCTTTAGTGCTTACAATAATGCCTGCATTATAACAGTCATTCAAATGTGTTTTATTTAGTCAATTAATAAACATTTAATAAGACAAAATTCTGTGATATGGTGCTTACATGAGTAAATTAAATATGGTTAACCTAGAGAATAAAGGAGAGAAGAAAACAAACTGGCAGCTTTCAAAGATGCACAATGAAGCAGAAGGTCAATCCCCAGGGCCTAAAGCACAGCCTTACAGTAGGGGGCCGTGACCCCACAAAGGGTTGTATAACTGAATGTGGAGGCTATAAAAACTTTGGCAACAGCAAACATTTCTGAATGTGCAATGACCAAAAATTAATTCAACATCAAACAAGTAATGAATCCAAAATGTTTCTGGAAGTGTTTTCCCATGCTGCATATCATGTGACTTTCCTGCAGCCATAGTCCTGAGCACACAACATGTGCACTCTGTGCTACACATGCCTTCATGCCATGCAATGTCAACAAATGCTGTCTGAAAAGCCTGGACTCAGATTCAAGACCAGGGCATGTTATGAAATGCAGTGTGCTTAGTGTATAGAGAAAGTTTTCTGATCTTATAGAAACATAATGGTTTAATTATGGAAAACAAAGAATTTCAATATTTTCCTGCTGTTATTCTTCAGCATGTAAGCATCAAATCAGTGTATCTTTAAATTGCATAGGGCTAAATAAGGCCAGGTGTGGTGGCGCACGCCTTTAATCCCAGCACTTGGGAAGCACAGGCAGGCGGATCTCTGTGAGTTCAAGGCCAGCCTGGTCTACAGAGTGAGTTCCAGGACAGCTGGGGCTACAGGGAGACCCTGTCTCAAAAAGACAAAAAAAAAAAAAGGTTGATTTTTAAATATTGCTGTTTGAACTCCTGTCTTTTGAGTTTCATTAGAAAAAAATCATTAAATGAATTCTGACATGGGAGGAAGACAGAATTTCCAATGACTTCTGAAATGGCCCTACATACACTTCTGGTGATAGTCTCACCACTGACAATCATAAAATCTAAACATTGATCAACTCTGAAAAATGTTGAAGATGCTTTATGATCTGCAGTATCAAATGTTTAGCCAAGATTTAATGCTTAAAAAAAAAGATTTAATTCTTTTTTTGTTTTGTTTATTATTTTTATTTTATGTGTATGAGTGTGTTGCCCACTGTGTATGAGTGTGTAGTACACCCAGGTCATGCAATGCCTGCGGTCAGAAGAGGGGGTCAGATTCATTGGAACTGGAGTTACAGAGAGTTGTTAGCCACATGTGAGTGCTGGGTCCTCTGTAAGAGCAGCCACTGCTCTTTATCACTAAACCATCTCTCCAGTCCCGATTTAATTCTTATGTAAAAATAAACAAATATATCCATTTCATTTGTATGCAAATTTGCTTTAATCTTTAATAATTGGTAAAATTATATATATATATGCCAAAGAATTATTTTTAAAATAAATTTCTTCATGGTTATCAATAAATATTTAATTTGTATACCTGTTTTATATTCTTATATATCCAGAGTCATATAAAATTTTCTCATGAGTGGAGAAAGTTTAAGAAGCCCTAACTAACAATGAGCTGAAATTACCAGGTAACTGCTGTCTGTTCATCATATGACTTTTTAAAGAGTCAAAACTGGGGCAAGATGAAACAAGAGAAACCAAAAGTAGTGGGCCTCAGTCATCATGACTGATCCACTCGCTACAGTCTTCCAGTTTTCTTTACAAGTTCCATTTAATAAGAATTTTTACATATGAACTAACTCAACATTTTCTTTTTTCTTTTTATTTTCTGTGTATGTGTGTTATCGCCTGCATGTAAGTAGGTGCACCCATATCATGCAATGCCCACAGAGGTCAGAAGAAGCATCAGATCCCCTGGAACTAGAGTTACAGATG